TTATAAATTGATTCATCTTGCTTAGTCCTAAAATCATCTTCTTTCCAACCTTGTTTATTTGGTATCCGTATTTGAGATTTCTATTTATCCTTACAATTTGTATTAAGTTATACCACATATACTTAGAACTATGTATAAATTAAACTATATCCGTTTTTTGGGTAAACAGACCGACCACCTATGAAATGAGATAAAATTCTCATGTAGCAATTTTCAACCACTATAATTGAGAAAAAAATCATTATCATGGAAATTAAATTTCATAGGTGAAACTTCAGGATATTATCATGGAGTTTCACCTGTAAGTAAATTTGAAATTTTATGACAATAACTATTTTCCAATTAAACGACTAAAAAATGGGCGGACCAAAAATCTCTTGGTTGTCATTAGTTATAGTCTATTATAGTTTTCGCCAAATGGACAAATTGATTCAGTTACTATATATATATATANTGTTCCACGCTAAATGTTGGATGACGAAAATATACTCAAAATATTGATTAATTTTTATGCCCTTAGAAAACTAAAATATTTCCTTAAAACATAATTCCATATTGAATAAAATCGTAATATTTAAAACTTCACCCAATTCGAATTTGCATGGATTTCTATTCCTAATCAAATTAAACTTCTCACATGTTAATATCCACGTATTCTGATGTTCCAAACTATATACCAATTCAATATGAACAAGAACATGTTCAATCACATCTCTCACCACTATATGAAAGGTAATTTGTTGTCTCGTTGAATTCTACAAAATTATCCTTTACATCACATGAAGTATATTTCATGTTGGAATAAAATGTAACTATAACTAATTTTTAAAAATATTATTATTTATGGAATTATATTGTAATCAATTATGATTCAGTATATGTATCGGATTTGAAAATATAATATCCAATTGAATAAAATCGTACGTTTTACCAATGAAGTTCTAGATTTTTCATTACTTGATATATTGTATAAAGACACTAATTTTACATAGACAAAAATATTTTGAACCATCTATTATACTATTAACACGCTCTATAAAGGGGTTACGTAAATTATTTATCGCATGAGTTTTCTCCTGATACGCTCCCGGGAAAAAAAAAAAAAAAAGGTACTTACAATTTTGTTAAGTTGTAGCAAAATACACTACCTGCAGCAGCCAGAGAATCACTGCCACATAAAGTTAAATATGATCAAGCTTTTGCTCTTGATGTTTAGCACCATTAATGTCTTCATATGTCTGATGAAAGTATCTGTTATGGTCCATTGCAAGGTATGAGACTTGAGTCCCACATCGGTATTGCAATGTGCTGATATGGGGTTTATATAGCCTTGGGCTCTCTCACCTTAATAGCTAACTTTTGGGATGTGGTACTCCCTGGGTTGTATCAATGGCATCATAGCCACCCACCGCCTTTCATGCCCACCGTGCCATGGATAGTGACGCCGGTATTGCAGTGCTCACCCGGGGCTAGAAAAGTCTAGCGCACAGCTGTCGGGACGACGGATGCGGAGCGTGGTGGTTTGTTATGGTCCATTGCAAGGTATGGGACTTAAGTTCCACATCGGTATTGCAATGTGCTGATGTAGGGTTTATATAGATTTGAGCTCTCACACCTTAATAGCTAGCTTTGGGAGTGTGGTTCTCCCTGGGTTGTATTAGTATTAGGAAAATTAGAGTTGGTTTTGAGTTCTCAATGAGATTGTGATAAACTATATCGCATGGATTAAGATTTATCTTTCTTTGACTTCAAAAAAAAATTAGCATTGTATTTTCATGTTAGTTTACAACAACAACCCAGTATAATTTTACTAGTGGGGTTTGGGGATCGGAGGGTAGTGTGTACACAGACCTTACCCCTACCCTGGGGTAGAGAGGCTATTTTCGATAGACCCTCGGCTCCCTCCCTCCAAGAACAACTCACCTTGCTCTTGGGGTGATTCGAACTCACAACCTCTTGGTTGGAAATGGAGGGTGCTAGAGCAACCCAATCTTGTCATGTTAGTTTAAATGTGGTAAACAAGACTGAATGCACTTCAGAATGCAACAACTCTTTTTGGATCTCTATAATACAGTGGCCTAAATATTAAATATTTTCTTATAAGCATATCATTTTTCAACTAGTTTTCTACGTTCGACTTGGAAATCACATGCTTCCTGCCTACCTCTTCAACAACTTGTCCTAACATACTATGTTATGTGCCTTTTAATGTGTAACCGTTTACCTTTTTCAATCCATCCTTTCTCTTCACCGACAGAACCACTAGGCTATGCTAGATAATTAGGGCTTCTTCCTATATAACCTTGTAATCTTTATAGTATAGACTTGTTACTTCTAAACAATGAAGCTTACCTTATTTGGCTATGATTTTCTCCACTCTGAAATAATACTCCTTTGGTCCTAAGCCTGTGAAATAATTTGATTCGCCACGAAATTTGACAAATTAGGTAAGATTTTTAAAATTTATGACAACAAGACATACATACATATATATATATATNTTTTTTTAAGGTAACTAGTGGGAATGTTGTGGCTTACTATTTCTTTTTTCAGTGCAGGTCCTATTTACTAGCTATCGCTTTTACTTTACATCTTTCTTCTAGATTTCATGAGGTTCCTATTTTACTTATGACTGTTGTGGTGATACTAATATTTACTAATATTGTCTCCCTTTACTTTGCATCTTTCTTCTGGATTTCATGGTGTTCCTATTTATCCTATGATTGTTGTTGTGATACTAATATTGTCTCCCTTTTTGCCCTTTTGTCTTTTTGTTTTTTTTGAGCCGAGGGTCTTTCCGAAATAGCCTCTCTACTCCTTCGGGGTAGGGGTAAGGTCTGCGTACACACTACCCTCCCCAGACCCTATTAGTGGGATTTTACTAGGTTGTTGTTGTTGTTGTCACAACCCAAAACTCTAACCTGTCGTGATGGCGCCTATCGATGGTACTAGGCAAGCCGACCTTTCAAAATACTTCAATATTTCATAAANAATTTTACTGGATTGTTGTTGTTGTTGTTATTCGCATACTCATACGTTTAAAAGTAAATAGAAACTTAATTTAAATTTATTTTCTTTTTGTTGGTACATAGTATCTAATATTAATTACTGTGTGTTCTTGAATACTGTTCATTCATTTTCAAGCTATCTTTGGAAAAAAGAAAAATTCAAACTATCTAAACTCCAAACTCTAGTAGAAGTAAAATAAAAAGTACCCCTAACATTTTCCCAATTAAAAAAGAAAAGAAATCTGGTATCAACGGTCCATTTTCAGGCATTTTTTTTCTTGTGCTGACCAACTAATAATTACTACTATCTGATATCACTAAAGTTGTGTACTTAAATTTAAGAAAATTCAAGTAGCAGTTACTTTAGATTTTACAAATGAGTAGTACCAAAAGGAATGAATAACTGAGTGAATAACGGAGAAGTTGAAATTTAGTAGTAATTGATTCTTTTGGTTGTAATTTCTGTTATTTTAATCCAAAATTTGCTTGGTATATTAAACTTTATCAATCTGGAAAAAAAATTTATATTAAAGTCATGCGCAAGCCGATCCTCAAATTCAAAAGCATTAAGATGAACCAATGATATCACACTTTGTATTTCATCACAAACCCGCAACAGCTTAATCTACAAAACCACAACAGCTTCATCCACAAACCCGCAACCCAACCCGCCCCGCGATGAATTTTAAAAAGAATTATTTTAACCCACTCGGTCCCGCATAGGTTTAAACCCGCACCCGCACTGCCTCATTGCCATTCCTATCTACATGCTTCATCGGATCCTACCCAGTTCTTATATCTATGCTACAATACCACAACTTATTAACTAGTGTTGCCAACCTCCACAGCATTTTCTCCTATCCAGTTAGTCTCATGTACACATCCAATATTAACTCTCCTTTTTACGGTAAGTATTCACTAATTTTATTGACTTTCCTATCTAGTTCTAACTACCTATCGTAATCCTCTCCGGATAATAATGTTGATGCGTAGACTAGCTTGCTTGTACTTTGACTATTCCATCAAGTATCTACTACCTTCCGCCAACACACGTCTTTCTCTCTGTTGAAATTTAAACCCTAACCTCCCATAATTTTCGCCCACCTTATTATTGACTGCTAGGCCACACCCTCGGGTGTTGTGACCTTGCGAGAGACTCCTCAACTCCAATCATGTACCTAAAACCAGTGCGGTTTCAAGTTCACAAAATTTAAGATAATTCCACACCTTAGGTCATGAGAAATGTGCATATTTATTTCTATTGGCTTGTTGTGATTTACATGCATCCAATTCCATCGTAGATCTCATCAAGCTGTGCACCATTAATTCTAGAACAAACTCTCTTCTACTTGAATATGAAGATCAATAACAAATCTTAATCAACAAAGAAAGTAGATAAGTCCGTTTGATGTAGAGCTAAGCTTTGCATTGTGCTTAGTTGAACAGGAGCAAGTGGATCAGCTTGGCGGATCGATTAATTAGATGCAACATGTTCAGTGACTTCATAAACACATTTCACCGACATCATACTTCTTTTTTTATCTATCACCCTTGGTAAGAGGGTGTGGAGAAATCCCAGTTTATTTTCTTATTCTTAGATTTCTATTACTACTTACTATTTCTTTTGCTTCAATTACCTTATTATCTTGCTGTTGTTACTGTTTCTTTTTTCATGGCTTCTCCGCTACTGCGTTTCTTTATCAAAACTACTGTGATTATGCCTTCCTTGAGCCGAGGGTCTATCAGAAACAACCTCTATATTTTCACAAGGTAAGGGTAGCCTGCACACACACACTACCCTCCTCAAACCCCACTTGTGGCTTGTGGGATATACCACATCTTGTACCAACGTATTATTCGAATCAGTCCCTTAAGTTTTTCTTCTTTTCTATTTTTTTCAGTTTCCTCTATAAAGAGATTGCATAATGCTTAACCAGTACCTATTTATGTTACAACTTACAAGATGGATTTGAGATTGCTTCAAGAAAGAAATACCAAATAATGCAACGATAAAAGTTCAAAATAGTAGAAAGGAGAGTGTAATACATTGAAAAGCTACCACAAATACAACTGGAAATCTCTGATCCTTGTTTCGAAAAATATAAAACTAGCCCTTGGGAGGAGACAAAGAATAGTAAGGCCTTTCTCAACAAATGCCGGAAGAAAAGGAAAGAGAGTATCCAGACACGTCTGACGCCTCGACAATAGAAACCAGAAGAAAAGAAGCAAATTATCAAGGTGTATACACAAGCACACAAAAAGAAATCTACAACCAAATCCTCCAATTTAGGAAAGTGGGAATGCCCGCAGAGGAGAACTTACTTCTTCAATACACTGCAATAAAATACCAGTCATAAGTAAGCAATCAGATCGATTCTTAGAGCTCAGAGTGTCAAATACAAACTAAAATTTGTGACATGCAACCGTCAAAATTATAATGCATTAGTTCCTTGACCAATGCCTCATGATTGTGCATAGTGCTATTCGTGGATATAACCAAGGGTGGGTTAAACCACCTGGTTCTAAAAGATTGTTAGAATGAGAACTTACTTATACAAATAGGCTGCAATTCCGAGAATTATGATCAGTAAAACAATATCAATGCAGAAGTTTCGACTAGATCTCAGCTGGAACACGAAAAAAAAGGTACATCAAATTAGAGGAGTACTATCCTGCAGACTGCTTGAACTTAAAGAGAATGACAAAATAAAGAGGTAGCTCAGTTTACCTGGTTAACCGTGTCCTTAAGCCTAACATTCGTATTCTTAAGATCAGATGAAGCCTTGTCGATCTGTCCACAAATCAAAGCAAATAAGCACAAGTTCTGAACTCTTGCATTTAATTGACTAAAGAATTACAGTAAGATTTCCCAACCTTAGTGTCAATTTCATCCATCAGAGGAACTTGCCTATCCAACTCCTGCATAAATTGGAGAATCATTAATATCATTTGTTTAGGAGCAAAATAGACCATAAAAGAAGGCAGACCTCATTCATATCACTGGCCATGTTTTTCAATGTATCCAAACCTTCTGATATGACCTCCAAACCTTGGTCCTGTGAGAAGTTGAAACAAAACCATTCATCAATATTCAGGAACCAGCAAGCGAGCAGTAACACGTAATAAAATGCAAAAAACTCGAAACCATTCCCAAAAAGCACATGCCTGTTTCATTTTGCGCATTTCATACTCATGTCGGAATTGACTTGATTCTTCAGTTTGTTGGAAGTACTCATCATCAAAACGTCCATCTGATCCAATCCAAATACAGAAAGAAATGATAAAACAATATATCGTCACTATGAAGGAGTTGTATAATATTGAAGCTGATAGTTGAATAGCCTGCAGTGGAAAAACTTTGGGAGGGATGCAACTTTACGATCACCTGAATCAAATTTAATTTCTGCACGAGGACCTGAACTTCCCCACCCTCCTGATTGTTTGGGTGCAGCTGCTGCACCATCTGGAATTGCACTTATCCTATCAGGCAATGCCAGGACCAAATCATTACGTGCAGCAAATTCTTCACTTGAAAGCCCCTTAACCTGCAAGAGAAAGTATTGTTAGTTGAGAAAACAAACCCAATGGAATTAGGTTGTTTCTGGTGATGAAAGGGAAAATACTGATTGGACAACAGCACAAAGAAAACAATCCTAAGAATCTGTAATTTTCATAATAACAGAGAAAGGAGGGTAAGAGAGGCAGTGACAAGCACCAGCCTGCACAAACAAAGCTCTTAAGTAACGTTGTAATTCTATATCTATCTATTCTACTAAACAGATAAAGCATGCTGCAACTACAGAATGAAAGAAGGCAGAGGTCAATTACTATCATCACTAGTGAGCTCAATTACCTGCTCGTACTTAATTGAACGACACAGGCTCATACAAAAATTGAGATCTACAAACTAGCACACCCTTCCTAGCATAGCCATGCGTATCCATTTCCAATCAAGTGCGTGTTCTTTATTTTACTACACTAATTACAAAATTTAGTGGGCCTCGCGCTCTTTACTAGCAAGATGTGAATGATTTCTGTAAGCAGACCTATGATAATGAATATTGACCTTAGAATTGACAGGGCATGAAAGAAGTGGAAGAAAAAGTAATGGAGATGAAGGTCAATTTATATCCACCTAAGGAGTTCGTGCCTGAGGAAGAGCTATAAAGGCATCTAATAAGGAAAAAAAAAGTATTCAAAAAAAACCAGAATTTAAATCCATTAACACTACTAACAACTCTGACGTGAGCTTACCCCCCGGGCTCCACCCTCCATCACTACAATCCAGGCACATAACAAAAGATGAACAAGAAATCATATTTAACGACACGACAGCTTCTAGAAAGGAACTGTAGAACAGCATAATCCATGAAAGTACTGACTACTTGACAATAGAGACAAGTATGGCTCAAACTGCATTTGATTCTTCATAGAACCCTCCTCCAGTTTTTACAGTAGTGCATTATGACTGCTGTATCATCTTGTATGCTCCTCTAATCTTCAGAATAAGCTTTATTTACTTATAGTGAAGAATGGACCTGGGGCCTAGCTCAATCTAAAAGCTAGCTCATGAGAGGAGGATTGCCCCAAAACCTTATAAGGACCACACTCATTCCCTCAACCAATGTGGGACTAAACATTCCCTACACACCCAAGGCTAGGGACAACCGGAGCGTGGATAACATAATACGGGGGCTCAACATTGAGAAACACAACATCAAGGATCGATGGATCTGGCTTTAATACTACGCGAAGATATGGACCTTGTGTCTAACTAAACCCCAAAAGCTAGCTCATGAGAGGAGGACTGCCCAAGATCACATAAGGTTACCACAACTCATTCTCTCAACCAATATAGGACTTAACATTATCAAAAAACCTAAACCAAATAATATTAATATCTCTAGTCTTAAACTTAGCTATTACACTGAGAGATATTAGAATTGTTGATCGCCTAATTGATTGATAAAGTACTAATAACCGGCAAATGCCAATTAAACTAGCTAAAACGTAGTTAAACATGCACTTGTTTATGTTTACCGAATGAATATATAAACCTTTCTTCTTGTAATTGTATTCCACGTCATTGTTGTCAATATTCAGAGAAATACTAGCACCAGTGCCTTAGAGAATAACAAAAGAGAAGTCCTTTCAACACACTGAAGTCTGAAAATGATGTTCAAATGGTTTGACTCTTTCTTTCTCCCTGGCTAAGGTCCAAAATGGTTACAGGCTTTGAAGCCAAAGACATTAACTTGAGATTTTTTTGCCAAGAAAATGCAGATTGCACAAAATAATATCATGTGAAACAGTACTTCCGTAATAGAGATAAAATTTCATTGTTACCACCTCTCTCCCACCCAGCACTGTGAAGATCTTAACTTGCAGCATTTTTCTGTTTTTACTAATTCATATTTTTCTCAAACCTCTCTAATCTCTTTAAGTTTAATATGCTAGGATGTGTCTCCAACATTATGCTGAGTTCATTGTATAACAAATCCAAATTATTAGCACAATTAGTATTTCTCATAAAAATGCAATTAAGATTGTTAATGTCCACAATTTCTCTTCCAGAAAAGTACCTGCCCATTTTTTTTTCAAAAAGACAGACACATTTTAAATCATTCAATAGTCGCTCAAACCTCTTTTCCCATGTATTAGCAACAACGACATTCACAATCTAATGTGATCAGGTCGTTCGCCTTGGCAGTATTAAGTAATACACTCTTATGGGATCAGTCCGTTCGCCTCGGCGGTATCATATTCTTATGGGATCGGGCCGTTCGCCTCGGCAGTATCATATTCTTATGGGATCGGGTCGTTCGCCTCGACAGTATCATATTCTTATGGGATCGGGCTGTTCGCCTCGGGAATGTCATGTATCATATTCTTATGGAATCGGGTCGTTCGCCTCGACAACTTCATGAAACACTCTTATCGGAACGGGCCGTTCGCCTCGGCAGAATCGTGCGTAATATTTGACAAGAAGCCAGTATATCCGTGAGTTTTTCTTATTTGAATTATGACGACCTATCTGGTAGGGACTATTTTATATACAAATTCCGGTTGAGGAGGTAACCGATAATTGAGGGCTTGTGTTTACTGTTCAGAGGAGGGTCGTACCACGTACCTATATTAGTTTACACCGTTTATTTACCATGCCTCATACTTGTTTACTTTCTATTGTACTTAATTTATTGGACCACTAGTAACTATCGATGTTGACCCCTCGTCACTACTTCTTCGGGGTTAGGCTATACGAGGGAAACAACACATAATAAAGTATGGCCACAAATAAGATATGGACATTTCACCCACTTTTATGAACACAAGTACCTATGTTACATGAACTCAGTAATGGTCACATATCCGATAAGCAAGGTTTGTGTTAGTGATGGGCACATGCAAAATTCTATTGTACTTTGAAGAACCTGCCCAAACAAAGACACATGCATCCACACCCTTTCAACATGGGTATGATGAGACAGATGGAGGATCCATGTAACATAGATGAATACACAACACAAGGGGAAGTTCGTTCATTCACAAATTTGGCATCTACACCTAAATCATACAAGTAACTCTAGGCCGATCGTACTTTCTGTCCCTCTTCCAGATCTATCTTACAGATACTTCCGATATTACAAAATTATTATGTTAATAACAATATGCTTTCTTGAGCAAGCAAAAAATCCATTAACATATCCAGCGACACATAATAGGTGATTCAACTAAACACACAAATGGATTACATATCTAAATCTTACAGATGAACTGCGCGTCCACTGTCCTTAACATTAACCTGCGTCCACTGTCCTTAACATTAACCTTCCATACATGATGGTTTTGTTTGATATCGATAAGTATTGTCTTATAAACATCAGAGAGGAAAAAGAATACTATACACTAACTAAAGATGACAAGGTAATGCAGAACACCTCAATTTGAAGTGAAAGAAAACCTAAAGCGTAAAACAGATTTCATCTTTCGAGTGTCGCTACTGTGAAAAAGTTGCAGATAAACTAATTTACAATTCAAGTGAAATTTCATCAGGATTAGAACAGACAATATACAAATATTTAGTAATAAGTAACAACCCTTCAAGGAGCTAAAGGTAAAATAAGCAATGCATGATAAATGACCACAAAATCCCAACACAAGGTCAAACTAATTGATTAACATATGAAGAACTTAGGGTTAATTATGATTTACAAGATCATATTTTCAAATCGGCATTCATAACCCTCCTCTGATAGCAAAATATACTCATAAACCCCTCTTCATGAGCTAAAATAAATGTTTTAAAGTTTCATTCGAACCCACCAAATTCTGAACTATACAATCTCTTCTTGAGCTCTACTTCGAAAATGAACTTTTTCTGTAATTTCATAGGTACATTGGTTACACGCTTGAGGGAGATGCAAGTTGAAACCATCATCAGAATTCCCTCAAAGAAATGAACTCTAACAAGACAACTGAGAGCCCTTACCCAACAAAATAATAAAGGCTGATAAGAATTATCAGTATGAGAACTTATAAACGGAGGGAATGCTATCATATGAAAGTCTTGGAACCCACAACCATCCAGCACCCAAACATAAACCCATACAATTTGGCTTTCAAATGACATTTTCTACTAATATCTGCTCGCTTATGCATCTTCCACCTCTTGAGCTACTAATTTGTAATCAACCCTAATAACAATTGAGTCCAATAAATCCAAAGGAGACACTGCCTCAGAGAAAAATCAGTAAGTAAAACCCAAACCAGACAAACCTTAATAGTGTTTTTTTTTTTTTTCTATATCCTTCACCGATCATAGTCCTAGCTCTACAATGCAGTGACGGATGCAGCCTTAGTGCTTTGAAGCCAATACTTTTGACAAGGAACATAGTTTTATGTGCGTGTGTGTGTGTGAAACAACAAAATTTCAACAAATATTAGATTTTGAACTCATAATTAGAAAAGAATAGTGAGTTCGGTGCTAAGAACTTTAAAAATTAAATCGATCAAGTTAAAATCCTGGTTCCGCTTCTTTTACATTGTATCAGAACATACTTAACATCTGAAAAGAAATTCTTAGCCCAAAAAAGCAAATACTAAAAGCAAATCTCTAATTTGATACATCAAAATAAGCGTATCAGTAAGTCAAGTTATAATCTGACTCTCAGAAGGCACAATTGACCAAATTAAGAAGGATGACAGAGTGGACAATGTGCTAACTACTGAGATCATAAAATCAAGTGAAAATGCACCTTCTTCATAGCCAATCTTTGCAATTTGGGAACCTCCTCTACTAATCTAGCCTTAGTTCTTCGAATCTCAGCATTGATCGCCACAGCAGACGCTCTATTTTTCTCCTTCGAAGCTGTCTCTGCTTTCTGTAACCACAGTTTTCAAATAATACTAAGTAAACCCGATCTGTTTTTTCTTTTGTTGACAAAATTGAATAGCAGTGAAAATAGAAGTGACCTGAAGAGCAGCTTCAATGTCGGCATCGACCGCAGCGTAAAGGCGAGCGAAGGCATCATCGCCGGAGATGTTTGAATCTTTCTGCTTATCGATATCGTACCTGTCGTATTTCTTGCAAATTGAATCGACGCGAGTAAGAATGTCGATTACACTCATTTTGAATATTTTCTCTGCTCAGATTTCAGCTTATGTCAAATGGCGACGGAGAATAGGCACATCAAAGAATGCAACAAGAAAAGAAAAAAAAAAAGCAATGACCAATTGAGAAGAGATTGGAAGAAAAGGGAACAGTTTTGGGGTATTAGTTGGGAGTTTTGTTTTTTCAAACAGGGGAAGACATTGCTGCTGTGGGTGTACAGGCTGGAATAGACTTAACAAATTGGTTAATGGGTTCCTTTATTTTATTTGTTTTATCGAATTAATAATACTAAAATAGACGGGCAGACTAGGTTGGGCGTACGATCAGTTCGGTTCGATTCGAAGAAATTCGGTTCGTTTATTTGGTTTTCGGTTTTGTAAAAGTAGTAACCGAAATCGAACTGAAATAAGTTCGGTTCAGTTCGGTTTTCTAATTTCGGTTCGATTTATTTTTAATCGGTTTTCGGTTTGAACATTATCATATTGGGCTCTCTCTATGTAATAATTGGACTGACGAATTTGTTGGTTTTCTTTCAAAATTTCGATAAGTTAGAATAAAATGGTAAGTTTGGATTGGTTTTTTGATGGACTTCAAAATTGGGCCTATATTATTACCTATGGGCTTAGCATATATATAACTTAAAGAATCTATATGCTAATAATTCGGTTTTTCGGTTAACCTAACCAAATAAATTAATAACCGAAAACCGAACCGAAAAACTGAAATTTTAATATTTTAAATTGAAATCGACCGAAAAATCCGAATAACCGAAACCGAAATAAAAATAGTTTCGGTTCGGTCGGTTTCTTCGGTTCAGACCGAAATATGCCCACCCCTAAATAGACGGTTCTAGATTTGGATTGAAATGAAAGTGTATCCTTTCTCTTTCGTACTTTCTTCTTTTTACCATGCGATAGGTAAGCCGTCATCACCCTGCAAAGAGGTGGAACCAACCAAGACTGAATGAATGTACGACAAATATTTGAATGTTCACTGTCATAATCGATCCACATCCTAGCGTAGTGCCCGACTTGCTTAGCTGTACGGCCTATACACGATGGATGAAGGTTTTGGCAAGATTAAGAATGGATGGTACCTATAATTAGACATTCCTCTTTCTGGAGAATAGTGCCTGCCCACTTAAGGTCGAGTAGTAGACGGGTGAGGCCCAGGATTATTTTGCTTATTTTGAAGTACAATAGTTTCAAAACTTTATGTACGTTCGTCACTGATACTCTGATCAATCAATCAAATTATATATGAAGAAAAAATAAAGCCAATTGTAGACAATAAAATTTGCGTCAAAAAAATAATCGAGACCGAAAAAAATTGCAACAATCGTAGTATTTTATTTCAAATAATTAGAGTGTTACAATCTCTATGATTCCTCTAATTCTACTTTTCTAATATAAAATTCAAGGGCCTTTGAACTTGATCTTAAATTTGAATTTGATTTATCCATCACGAACGCTTTGATGGTTGTCACGAATTCTTTCACGAACAAGTAGTCTTGATCTTGAACGCCTTCTATTTGATTTGACTTCGTTCTTGTTCTTGAATACTTGGAATTGGTGTTGAAGTGCTTGAATGCTTAAACACTTGCAATTTGCATAGAATTGTGGCATTTGATCCACGAGCTCCCTTGTGTCTTCTTGTTATAACTTCTGGTGTGATCTTGATCTTGACGTATTTTTAATCAAAGGGCTTGCAGCTTGTTCTTGAATCTTCGTCTTGATCTTTTAATCCTTAGAATACTTGAATGCTTGTAGCTTTTAGAGAAATCTGCAGCGTTTGATTCACGAGCTCACTCTTGATTCTTATTATAACTTCTGATCTCTTTTCTGGGCTATGAAGACCCCTATTTATAGTTATGGGGGGAAGAGTTATGATAAGAACAAACTCTTTCCGATCAATCAAATAGAAGTGTGACATGACTGCATTTGATTGGCCAGAATATGTTACTTACACACGTGACATGGTTTCATTAGCCTTTTAATTTGGCTTGGCATGCCTTGTCATTTTGACACGTGGCGCGAACCTATTGACTCTTTTGTTTGACTTGGCGTGCCACGCCATTTAACACGTGGCACCAAACTGGGCCTATAGGAAGAAAATATTTTAGGCTTAATGAAGTGGGCCATTATTTATAGCCCAACTAAATGGGCTAGCCCAATGAATTTGGACTTATTTATTAATTCTGAATTATGGATTTATATAACTAATCCAATTATATTAGCCCAATAAATTTATTTGAGCTAATATATCGTGAATTAAAAATAGAATGCAAAGTATTTTATCGATTTATTTTCGATAAAATTTAAATGCTTACACCAACTATATGAGATTATTTGGGAAAGTTATCAGGTGGTTAAACTAATTTATAAATATTTTTAGCTTATATACGAGTTAGATAAACACAAGGCCTCATTTGTTTTTTTAGATTAAGACGTCTGAATATGAATATATATCTGATTAGCAAGATGTATATTAAGATTAAGACATCTGAATTTGAATACACATTTGAATATTAAGATGTGTTTTAAGATCTGAATTCTAAATGATTAAGACTGTTTATTTTTTAAAAATCTGAATATATAGAATTTATCTTTATTTAAAAATTAATAAATATAAATTCAAATAAAATACTAAT